CAAGGGCACATGCCTGGGTTGCGGGCTCGATCCCCAGTGTGAGGCGTGCAGGAGGCAGCCAATCAATCAATGATTCTCTCTCATCATTGATGTTTCTATCTCTCTCTCCCTCTCCCTTCCTCTCTGAAATCAATAAAAATACACATTTAAAAAAAAAAATTAGATGCCTCTGGAGAGGAGGAGTAAAGAAAGTAAGGAGGGGTAGGAAAGGGAAATGCTCTATTTTGTCACAGCCTTTTTAGTACCAAAAGAGGAAACTCGGGGTTCTCTTTTTCCTTCCAATGCAGGGGGGAAATCCAGTTCTTCTCTACTATTCCTTTATTCCCTGTGTGTCTCCTTTACCTTCACAGAGAGCACTTCCTTCCGACACCTGTAGTCACCAAATACGTGAAGGCTTTTTTCCCCACAACAACAAGCAAGTCTCTACATCAGCTAGGTGTCCTACAATTTAACTCAAGTCTAACACTATCTACCTGGAAGATAGTGCCAGATCCCACAAGTTGAGATATTGGTCCCACAAGACTGCCCCCTGCCTCCAACCTCAGACGCCAGTCCCAAACCCACCTGTGCTTCTGACCGATGGGGCTATGCATTGAAGGTTCCAGTGACCTTTCCTTGGGTTCAATTGATATGCTAGAGTGGCTCACAGAACTCAGGGAAACCTTTACTTTCATTTACCAGTATATTAGAAGAAATGATAAAGGATACAGATGGACAGCCAGTTGAAAAGATACAGATGGCAAGATCTGGGCAGGTCCCAAGTGCAGGAGCTTCTGTCCCCATGGAGTTCTGATGTCATCTTCTGGTGCAGATGCGTCTGACAACCCAGAAGCTCTTTGAACCCTGCACCACTGGCATTTTTATGGAGGCTTTCTCCCATGGGCATCAATTATGAACTCTGTTTTTAGCCCCCTCCCCTCTCTGGAGGATGACTGGTGGGACTGAAAATTCCAAGCTTCTAATCATGGCTCCATCTTTCTGGTTACCAGCCCCCTTCCAGGAGTCATCACTCAGAGTCATCCCAAGGTGCAAAAGATGCTCCTAGGGCTCTTACACTCAGGAAATGACAAGGGTTTTAGGATCTCTGTGCCAGGAACCGGGGGTATAGGCCAATATACATATATTTTTCTATTATCTCACAAGTACTATTTGACTTTTTAGAATGTGTACATATTACTTTAATAAAATAAAAATTAAAGGGGGAAAATGGGAGCTATCTGTAATTATATCAACAAAGAAAAAAATAAATTAAAAAGCCAGGACTGGATGAGATCATGAGATAGACAGAGAAAAAAAGAACCCTAGTATCTGAGTCCAGGGTCCCTCCACTGTTCAGAGGTCAGGAAGATGAAGAGGAGCCGGCAAAGGAGACAGAAGGAGCAGCCAGAACTGTAAGAGGAGAACCATAAGGGAGTAGCGTCTTGGAAGCTAAGTGGAGAAACCATTTCCAAAAGGACAATGATAAAGCATGCCAAGTGCTGTTAGTTAAAATGAAAATTGATCATTAAATTTGATAAGAGCCATCTTGGTGGAGTGAAAGCCTGATCTAAGTGGATTCTAGAGAGTATGTGAGGATGGAAAGTAAAAATGGCAAGAACAGCAATTCTCCATAAGGGAACAGGTTGGGCATTGGTGTGTCAAGAGGGAGTTTTGTGCGTATAAATGTGAGCCTCTCTGTGTATAATTTTAAATGAAAATTATTTGAATGTTGATGAAAATGACCTACTTTGTTATAGGCCAGAGTATGTGATTTATAGCCATGTTCCCTAAAATAAACTCTTTTGGGTCAGACAACATTAATCTTTTAATATGATCCTGGCTTCGATCTGATAAATTTTAAGATTTTTGCGTCCATGTATAGTATAGGTGTGGAAAATTAACTTAGTTTTACCAAGAAACTTGGTAAACTATTTCTTATTTTCTGTGTTCAAAAGACACACAACGGAAATTCTCATCCCTTAAAATTCTCACTCATTAAATTGTCTGGATTAAGTGAGAAAACATGTATAAAGGATCAAACAAACTTGGGTCCTACTCCGGTTCTTTCCCGATAAGTGAAATAAATAAAGCTATATAACCCAAGGCAACTTAACTTTCTTTTTTTTTCAATATATATTTGTATTGATTTTAGAGAGGAAGGGGGAAAGAGAGAGATAAAAACATCAATGATGAGAGAGAACCATTGCTCTCTGGTTTCCTGCACATCCCCCACTGGGGATCAAGTCTGCAACTGGGTATGTGCCCTGCCCAGGAATCGAACCATGACCTCCTGGTTGATAGGTCGATGCTCAACCATTGAGCCACGCTGGCCAGGCAACTTACTTTATTTCTTTAAACCTAATTTCCTTCTCTGTAAAATGGTGGTAGTAATAATAATACCTATCTCATATTATTGTTGAGGATTTAATAAGATAAACTTATAAAGTGTTTAGGCCCTGACCGGTTTGGCTCAGTGGATAGAGCGTCCGCCTGCGGGCTGAAGGGTCCCAGGTTCGATTCCGGTCAGGGGCATGTACCTTGGTTGCGGGCACATCCCCAGTTGGGGGTGTGCAAGAGGCAGCTGATCCATGTTTCTCTCTCATCGATGTTTCTAACTCTCTATCCCCTTCCCTTCCTCTCTGTGAAAAATCAATAAAATGTATTAAAAAAATAAAAAATAAAAAAATAAAGTGTTTAGGATGGCACTTAAATATAGCTAGATGTTTAGCAAGGCTAATAAATATAGTTATTATCATTAATAATTATTTTTTTTTTATTTTATTTTTTTATTGCTTAAAGTATTACAAAGGGTATTACATATGTGTCCATTTTATCCCCCCGCCCTAGACAGTCCCCTAGCCTCCCCTATCCCCCAATGTCTTATGTCCACTGGTTATGCTTATATGCATGCATACAAGTCCTTTAGTTGATCTCTTACCCGCCTACCTCCTGCCCCCCAACCCTCCCAGGCCTTCCTGCTGCAGTTTGACAATCTGTTTGAGGCAGCTCTGCCTCTGTATCTATTATTGTTCAAAAGTTTATAATGGTCTCTATTATCCATGAATGAGTGAGATCATGTGGTATTTTTCCTTCATTGACTGGCTTATTTCACTTAGCATAATGTAATAATTATTTTTAAATATTTTTTTTTCCTAATTCTTCTGTTAGTTACTGACCTACCATTTTCTGTTGCTTCTTGGGTTAATTTTTGCAGAAAGGTCATTGGTTTTATCAAGTTAGGATAATTTGATTTTGTTATCAGGTTGGGAATTTTAGCTCAGTTATAAAAAGCAGGCTACAGCTAGCAGACAGGAAGAAAATGAGGCCAAAGGCATAAAAGGGGAAATCTGATGAACCAGAGTCCACAGAGAAATGGGAGAGGGGAGGCCAAGTACACAGATTGATGTGCTGAACAAAAAGGAACAACAGCTGCTGAGGCCGGCAGGAAGGGATGGATTGGTGTTAAATATGAAGAGAGGGAGGAAAGAAAGAGGAGGAGTTTCCTGTGATATGTACACTTTAATTATTTAACAAAAAGACTTAAATTACATTTTACCGTCTCAAACACTGTGAAAAAAATTTCTCTACACTACATTAACATCACACCATAGAAATGTATTTTAAAGTATTCACTTGTGACTGATATAGAAAAACTGAAATATGAGCCCTTCCTAGAAGAAGTAATGTGGAAAAATATACAGAAAACTGTAGAACACATTGCGAGAAAATAAAAACCAAATTCATGAGCATGAACCAAAGCATTTCAGCAAAGCACATCATCTCCTGGGTGTGCTTTGAGAGAAGTTCTTTGTAGAAATAGAATCACAAAATATCTCCCCTCAGCATGATCAGAGTATATTTATTAAATAAATCATTTTACTCACAAAAATGCTTACCGAATAGACATTGGGGTTTTTTTTAAAAAATTATAAACAAGTACAAAAAATTTAAAAAGCAAGAGAAAACATATTAATTCATAACAGTATGTCCTGGATAAGATGGCCAAATCTAAGATTTTCTTGTGCTTAGATTACCAAGCATTGAAGGATCATATCTGCTATTTTTTAAAAAGGCATATAACAAGAATATATCAACTAAAAGCTGGAGAATAATTTCTTGTTATGTATAAGTGATGGTATAATTCATATGTTATATGGTTAACATATATTATATGGTTCATATGTTATATAATAAGAGTATCTTTACTAAATGTTAACTAGGGAATAATTGCTCTTTATGTAAGGTTAAGTTCTTTATTTTAATGTTTTTATTGATTTTTAGAGAGAGGGGGAGAGAGAGACTTCAATGTGAGAGTGTAACATCCATTGGTTGCCACCTGCATGCCCCTGGCCCAGGATCAAGCCAGGAACCCTTTAGTGCATGGGATGGTGCCCAACCAACTCAGCCACACAGGGCAGGGCTATACGCTGAAGTTCTTATCAGTTTTATCATTATCTACAGTAAGCAAGAAGATGAGCAGTTAATCAGTGAAATAAATGGATAAAAGATGGAAAATTTTTGTATAATTTAGAAAGCCAACCCTTTCCCTTTCACTTAAGAGTAGGACTTTTTAAACCCAAATTATAAGTATTTGTTAAGTCTACTTATTTTCCATATGTAGGGTAGTCTAAATGACAGTCAACACATATCAAACCTTAAAAGTAATTTTAGAAAAATGTCCTGTATAGTGGAAAAGGTATAGGATAAGAAGACAGGCAGCCTGCCTGGCGTGGCTCAGTGGTTGAGTATCAACCTATGAACCACGAGGTCACGGTTTAATTCCTGGTCAGGGCACATGCCTGGGTTGTGAGTTTAATCGCCAGTGGGGAGCATGCAGTGGGCAGCTGATCAATAATTCTCTCTCATCACTGTTATCTCTCTCTCTCTCTCCCTCACCTCTTTCTCCCTCCCTCCCACTGTTTCTGAAAAGCAAGGGTGGGGGGGAGTAAATAGCAGCCTTTAACAGTGAAGCTGCTTCTAAAGACAGTGTTTATGCATACATAAAGGTGCTCAACAATTTATTGAATGAGTAATGATTTATTCTTACAACCCAAAAGGAAAACAAACAAATGAATTCACCACCTTCTTTTTTCTGAGCTTGGACATTGGTTGGTTATCTTTCACCATGCAGCCATCTGTGTCTTTTACAGATGATGGTCAGCAGAAGTAAGGAAGATGGTCATACACCTGGACACCTAGGACAGGGGTGAGACAATTGATGACTACAGGTTTCCATGCTGAAGGGAGACAAAAGGAGAATATGGCAGACGTCTCCAAAGTACCTGGGAACGTGAGTCTTGGGATACAGTAATCAAGGGAAAGGAGTCTTTGGAAGATATAAGGGACATCACAGCCAAGAGATAATACCTGAAAATATACAACCAGCATATCATTTCCTCCTTATTAATGCGATTGATGTAAGGTCAGGATATCTTAGGATTTCAGCAGAAGCACCCCATTTTTCATCTCTACAACTCCAATCCTCATTTGCAGGAAGATGTGGGGACCTATCCCCAATCTCAGACCCACCGAGATTATAGTTATTGCACAGAGCAGCTCCAGCTAAAGTCAGTCAGCCTGTAGAGGCACTAGAAGTGGAATGACCAGTCTCCCAAAAAGCCTCCATCTTGGGAATGATGCCGATCGTTCTCATCCATCCACAGATGGTGCTTAACATATACTTTCAGAGGAATCAATAAAAGAATGAATGTAAGTGTCCACAAGTGAATTGAAGCTTTGAAAATATTTGGTGGGAGATTGAATCAACCAGTAATATGTAATATGGATTTATTCAGTGTATCAGCATAATGCCATCCCATTTAGACCTTGCTGCTGTGCCCTGCTCTGTAATGGAGATGGATACCTTGGGGAAAGCCATCAAGTTTCCCTGGGAAGTTTACAGGCTGGCACAATGTTCTTTTTATGGAATTCGAGCCCCAAAACAAGGAAGTTCATTAATGGTTTAGAAGACACCATTCCCTAGTCAGTAGACAAATCAACAAATCAACAAATAAACAAATGAATTCACCAGCTTTTTTTTTTCTGAGCGTGGGAATGGTGTCTTCTGACTAGGGAATGTTGTCTTCTAAACAATTTAGTGTCTATTGACTCCAGCAGCCATAAAGAATAATTGCTGAACCCCTAAAGAAAGGGCTATCTTGTTTGTCTCATTCCCTGGTAACACGTAGAGACACTCAGCAAACATTTTTTTTAATGAATAAATGTTATGACAGCCACATTATCTGCTCCGCCAGTGCAAGCTCCATAAGCAGTGAACCAGAATTTAAACTGGACTATAAAGCTCTTAAATGAGATATATGGTAGCTTATGTGAAAAGGAGGCAAAAACATGAACCAAACTAAGAATGTATATTTGACAGCAAACTGTTTTAAGAATTGTTAGCTAATGACAAGCCAAGTTCCAATAATGAATGAAGTTTATTGCCCAAGACATTACCAAGTTAGGACAGAGAAGATGTGGTTCAACCAGTTACAGGCGCTTTGAAGTAAACCACTTCATCCTGGCCCCAGGTAAAATTGTGAAACTGGCTTGATCTGTCTGCATGGCCCCTAGACTTCCCTCTCCCCTTCAACCCTTTTTGTAGCCTAAGAGTGTCCTCAAGTTTTCTTCACTCTCCCCTTAACCTTTTTTTTATATTACAAGGAAAATACAATGGTAGTAGGTTAAAATTATCTCCAAAGATATCCCTAATCCATGTATTTCAGTGGCCTCAGGGAAACTTTCCCAAGCTCTAGACAATGAGTGGCAGGCACCACAATGAGAAAACAGGAGGCATGGAATAGACTAGCTTAGTGGAGAGCGAAGTTGGGGAATGGAGAGAGTTCCCAAGGCTGAGGGAGGCTTATGGTTTGGTGAGGTCAGTGGCATGACCTGTGCTTAGCTCTTCAGAATTCCTGGGAGAGGTGTCATACAAGCTTAACTGTAAAGCACTGTGGCAACTCTCTACCTAAGAACCCTGAATGTGGCAACTGGCTAAAGATCCTGGAATTGGCCGTCATTGTCCTTCTCTGGTATGACTTTTGGCGTCACCTTGGCATCTCTTAAGCTTTTATGGAACAGAGAGAAATCTACATTGCCTTCCTTGTAGGATAGTGCAGTGGGGAAGCTCAAAGAAGTCCCAGGATATGAATGCAGTCTAGTAGTTAAAGAGGATAAGACAGAGAGGGTTAACCACTCATTATTGGAGACCAAGGTATCTTTTTCTTCAAGATGGAACTAGTTTTACTGATTTTTATGATTGTACAGATAACACATGCTGATTGCAAAAATTCAGGAAATATAGAAAAGTATAACCTAATCTCTTTATATCATTTTAATAGCACTAATCAATAACCACCTCCTATGAGCTGACTGATTGTATAGGGATAAGGTCGAAAGGCTGCATGCAATGGGGAAGAGGAGGGATGGCCTCAGGGTCTGTGGTTGTGTCTCACCTTCCAAGATATTGAAGTCCAATAAGAAAGTAGTTAATTTTCAATAGTGTTAAAACCGGAGAAGGGATCACATTCCTGAGGCAAACTCCCAGAGGCACAGCAACCAAATCAAAGTGCATCCTGTCCTTTGTCCTCAAAATGCATTTTCTTTTCTGAGCCATGGACCCATCCTTGCTCTGAGATGTCTCATCTTTTTAGAACTCTGTTTTTCTTTTTGCACATCCTCCAATTTCTCAGGGTCTGTAAGAAAACCTCTTATCCATAGTTAGTAAGGTGAATAATCATTAAACATCTGTGGTCCTATTCTTACTGTGTGACCGTCCCTCTTATCATTTTGAGATAACTTTTGTATGTGATGTGAGGTAGGGATCCAACTTTATTCTTTCGCCTATGGATGGCCAGCTGTCCCAGCACCAGTTGTTGAAAACACTATTGTTTCCCCATTGAATGGTCTTGGCATTCTTGTTAAATTGTAATTGACCAAAGATATACAGGATTACTTCTGGAATCTCAATCCTATCCATTAGTCTATATTTCTATCCTTATGCCAGAACCATACTATCTTGGTTGCTGTTGCTTTGTAGTAAGTTTTTAAATTGAGAATTGTGAGTTCTGCAACTTTGTCTTCTTTCTCAAGATTGTTTTGTTTGTCCTGGGCCCCTTGAAATTTCATATGAATTTTAAAACTAGTGTGTCCATTCCTTAAGGAAAAAAACACAATTAGAATTTTGATAGGATTGCATTGAGTTTGTTGATCAATTTGAGAAGTAGAAAAACAAACTTTCAGACAAATTTTATTCTAGTTTAATAGGTTGTGGTAGACTGTTTGCAAAGGTGGCCATAATTATTCTTTTCTCCATATCTCTGGATAGATGCTATGTTTGTTGAGCTCCTCCAATGAAATGGGAGAGTCTATTTCCCATCCCTTGAATTGAGGTTGGCCTTGTGACTTACTCTGACCAAAATGACTGAGGCAAGAGTGATACTGTGCTGGTTCCAAGACTAGGCGTAAAGATGCCTTGCACAATTCTCATTCTACTCCATGTAAACAAGCTCAGGCTAACCTGCTGGAAAATGAGAGACCACATGGAGCAGAGACAAGCCACCTAAGCCGAACCAACCTAGAAGGAAGCATAGATATGACAGACAATCCAGCTGAGGTCGCTGAAGCCTGCCCCACATCAACGGAACTGCCAAGGATATCCAAAGACTCAAGAGCAAGTTTTTAGAGAAGGTTGTTATTTTAATACACTTAGTTATGGAGGGCTTTTTATGTAGCAATAAATAACTATGACGTAGGCAAACTAAAAAAAAATAAAATGTCCACAAAATGTCCTCTTAATGGATGAACAAAATGTGGTATGTATGTACAATGGAATGTTATTCAGCCTTAATACGAAATGAAATTCTGATACCTGGCAATGAACCTGGGAAACGTTATGTTTGGTGAGATAAGCCCGACACAAAAGAACAAAGGCTGTATGATTCCTGTTGTATGAGTTACCTAGAATAAGCAAATCCACAAAGAGACAAAGTATAATAGGGGTTACCAGGAGCTGGGGAGTTATTGTTTAATGATTAGATTACTTGTATTTGGGAAGATGAAAATGTTCTTGAAATAGATAGTGGTGATAGTTCACTGAGTTGTACACTTTTAAGTGGTTAAAACTATAAATGTTATGTATAATTTACCACAATTTAAAAAATATGTTCTCTTTGAATTTTACATATGTCTAGTCAACTCATTTATCTGGATGGACTTTCCAGAGTGTCCGGGAAATAAAAACCCACTTTCACACATTAGCCTTCAGAGCAGCTCTGTGAATTCTCTTCATTGGTCCCATGCCTGGCTCTAGCTGTTTGCCCTATTACAGTGCCAATTAGCTCCCGACTCAAGGCTACTACTTTCACACCTTGCAGTTGATAACAGGATTCCACTTCCTGGGTTTGGCCTTTGGTATTTCCCAGCACAGGACTCAGACTCTGGCTACCATCCTTTGCATTTCTGGCACTATTGGAAAACACCTTGCTTCCCCTGCCTGCTTCCTACAACCCAAACCAATAGGCTTTTCAGATAAAATACTTGCACTATTTGAGATCTACTTATACTAAAATGTTTTTATCTGAAGTTCAAGTTTAACTAGATAGTCGGTATTTTAACTTGCTAAATTTGGCAACCTTGGCCCCATGGGCTTTGCCAATGGGATTTTTGAGGGAAATGCACCTGGAAAAATATATGACTAATTTTTATTTTTATTCTTTTTACTGGTGAAGCCATTTTTCAAAGTACTACCTGTGGCAGTATGTCAAGTACTTCAGCAGCCAGGCTAATAGTCATAAGCCAGATTTAAATACATACAACCCTGCCTTCAAGAGCGAAGATGATGCACAATGATTCTGGAAGCATTTCCACTAGGATTTATGTCATCCTATGTATTATTTTATAGCAAGCTACTCTGTGTGTATATTTAACACATAAATTTACACTGTTAGTTTACACTGAAAATGCATATTTTCTCAAATTATTTAAAAGGCATGATTCTCATATGAATAGTGAGCATGTCCAAGTTTTAACTCATCAGTGAAGGAACCAGAGGACAGAAAAAAGAGTTTTATAAGGATAAGAGAAACTGGGACATAAGTATCAGTAGGAAAAGGAATGCTGAAATCAGATTGTTGAGTTAGATGTGGAAGTGGTTTATACCCTAGAAGGCATAAACCATAACCTTTAGGTTATCTTCTTTACAAAGGGGATGGGGAGGATCATACCTTACCAGTTTCTATAAGCTAACATCTAATTTGGTAGAGTTGTGAGAATCTATTGCTAATCAATTGCTAGCAAAACAAGTTATGTTTCCTGAGAGAGAATGACCCTCAGATGAGTCTATTAGAAAATGCTCTAAGCCTGGCCGGTATGGCTCAGTGGTTGAGCATTGACCATTGACCTATGAACTAGGAGGTCATGGTTCGATACCTGGTCAGGGCACATGCCTGGGTTGCAGGCTCAATCCCTAGTGTGAGGCTTGCAGGAGGCAACTGATCGATGATTTTCTCAACATCACTGATGTGTGTCTCTCTCTCTCACTCCATTCTTCTCTGAAATCAATTATATGTGTGTGTGTGTGTGTGTGTGTGTGTGTGTGTGTGTGTGTTCTAATATATTAAAAGGTCACTTAAAATCATCTTTTGCCTTTTGTCCAATTTTTGGATAATTTTTTTGTACAACATATCCGGCATTCATAACTACATTTGGTAGGAAAAATAAAGAATAGAGACTAAATAATATGGTTGGTCCCCCTAACATTCTGTTCCAGGATGAGTCTGGGATGAGAGACAAAAAAAACTGCTGTTACATTTGTATCCTGGAGACTCTCATCAATGATTATGAGTCCAGTGTTTAAAGTTGTGGATTTTTCGAACAGAAGGTCACCTACAGGCAAGCCAACTATTTCATGTGGCGCTCGTCCAGAAAAACACAATGTGTTCCAATACTGGTGGAAAAATTGACTAACATGATTTCAAGTTGGAGTCTTGCTAAGGATTTCTAAGGCTTTCTGCTTAAATTTTGGTGTTCATGCTGATTTTAGAATCTAGACAAATCACAAAAAGAGGTCCCTATTGGGCCCAGATCCCTCTTTCTAACTGATTACTAATTCCTTAGAGCTGATGCCTTTTCTAGAAATTTGCTTTTGGCCATTAAGAGCCACCTCTCTTGAGAAGATACTCCCTCCTGCTGCCCGCAGCTCACAGCCAGTTGCTGACTGATAAGGATACAAAGGCCTGAATCTTTGTCTCATGGAAGGACCCACATTATGGTGAAATTCACATTCCAGAGCTCCTCAAGGTATCAGGCAGAAGCTAGACTCCAGCCAAGATACATTCTTGCTTGGTTTTTAATCCCCACCCTAACCTTCTTACCTCATTCCCCTTTTCCTAAAAGCACACACTCAAGAATCCCTGTCTTAGGCTCCGAGTCTTGGGAACCTGACACTTAAACAAAAGTATGAAAAATAAGCTTCCTTCCTGCATCTTTCCTTCAGGTTACCAGTTCACTCATGAAAGATAACCAAAGTTGCCAGGGTCTTGGGTAAACTTAGAGAAAAATTTTTTTTCAAGTATATGTGTGTGTGTGTGTATATATATATATATATATTATCCTATATAATAAAAAGGTAATATGCAAATTGACCAAATGGTTGAACGACTGGTCACTATGATGTGCACTGACCACCAGGGGGGCAGATGCTCAACACAGGAGCTGCCCTGTGGTGGTCAGTGCATTCCCACTGGGGGAGTGTTGCTCAGCCAGAAGCCCTGAGTTGGGCTCACGGCTAGCAAGCACAGCGGCAGTGGCAGGAGCCTCTCCCGCTTCTGCTGCAGTGCAGGGAGCGGACCTAAGCCAGCAGTTGGAATTCCCCTGAGGGCTCCCGGACTGGGAGAGGGCACAGGCTGGGCTGACGGACCCCCCCCCCACCCCCCACCCCCAGTGCATGAATTTAGTGCACCGGGCCTCTAGTGTAAATATAAAAACCACTATATTAAATAAGTGTTTCTGTAGGTTTACTTTTGTGTTATATAAATAAATGGTATTCTACACTATCACTGTTTTGCTTTTTGCCTTATTTGATAATGGATCTTGGAGATGGTTCTTAACCAATGCATACAGTGCTGCTGCTTTTGTAAAAGCTCTTGAGTATTCTGTTGTAAATATCCACTGTCATTAGAATACTGGTCCCCTAATTATGGCCATGTACATTGTTTCCAATGTTTAACTATTAAATAAACAAACATAGCGATGCTATAGTGAATCTTTGTATGAAATATCATAAATTATGAATATGTTTGTAGGATAATTTCCTATTAGTGGAAGTCCTGGGTCAAAGGGTACATGCATTTGTATTTTGGGCAGATATTGCTAATGTGCTTCCCACAGATGTTGAATCAATTTTCACTACCACTGAAAATATATGGTAGTGGCTGTTTCTCCAACCCTCACCAATATGATGCCACATGTTTTTGTTTTTGTGTTTTTTTAGCCACTTGTTTTATATTTGCCAATATGATGTGTAAAAAAGATTATAATGAATGAGATTATGCATGTATTTATATGTTTAAAAGTCTCTTTCATTTTCTTTTTCTGTGTACTATTTAAGTTCTTTGTCACTTTTACATTGGATTTTGGCTGTTTATTATTAACTTATATATACTCTACAGATAACTCTGTGATATGTTATAAATATTTTTTCAAGTTT